TACTCATTGTTTTCTTTTGCTAAATTAAAATATTCCTTTCTTTTTTCTCTCTTCTTTAAGATCAGAATTTTAAGAGCTTTTCTTGCCTTCCACAGCAGGTAAGAATATAAGTCCAAAATGTATTTTTCTTTGTGCAGTGCATGGACTTTTTAGTGGTGCCTTGCTAAAATTTGACTTCAGTGAAATCCATGCATTCTAATATGATCTGTGCCTCTGTTAGGTTATTTTTCTGGCTGAGTTTTCATATCTGACATTATGTCTGCTAGGTGGCCTTTCAAGTCTTGGTGAATTTTACAAGAGGTCAGCAATTTCAAGTCCCTGATTCCAGCTGTGGATTTCTTGGGATGTACAAATGCTGCTAGTATGCTAGTAGTCTTGCTACAACTGGTCACCTTAGGGAATATCCGAGGCCAATTTAAGTAGCTTTGGTTATATTTATATATATATATATATATATATATATATATATATATATATATATATTTTCATGTCAATTATCATCCTTTTTCCCAATATAAGAAGCTATGGAATACATACTGGGGAGCAAACCTCCATGCTTTGCAAATGAGATCTAATTTTATTTTGTAATGAGACTTCTTTTAAAAAGTTTTTTTTTCCATGTGAGGAAATAGCTTCCGAGTCTATGACGGGAGTTGTTAAGTAATTCGCTGTTAATGTTTGCAGTGACAGCGCCAACAGAAGGCCAAACCAGTTTTAAAGTGGGTGGTTTTCCCAGTCTCAAGTAGTTGCTGAAGACAGGCAGGTGGACCTTTACTCTGAGGTGCCATCCACACACTTCTACAGAGCTCTCATGTACCTTGGAAGCCGTCTTGACTCTCCACTTGCCTGTCTTTACGCCTTGGTATCTTTGCTTCCAGCCCATCCGTACAGAGATGCTGATGTGAGAAAATGCCTAATCAGTCCACTTTATTTGGAAACAGGTGTCCCAAGTCTGGGCCTTCTTCCAAGGTACTTCTTGCTCACTCCTGCTTTCTTGTTTTACCAGTTTTCCTATCTTATTCTCAGGACTCTGGCCTTGGCTCTGCTAACTTCTTATTATCGTACAAGCAAAATTACAGAAGACAAAATAAAGGAAGGCCATCTCATTTTTATATCAAGATGAAGGACTGCATAGGACATCAAAACTAGAACTGGCCATTATATTAAACATTTAAAAAGTGGCTCTCTTAAAAACACTGGTTTTTCATCCTATGATAGAACTGAAATTATTTTGCAAAATCAGGTTGTTTTTATACTATATGGTAATTACTTTTTTTTTCTGTCATCTTGTTGAAGTTTTTTTTCTCCCATTTTCATGGCTACCTTTTGTGGTAGTTTGGATGTAATTGGCCCACATAATCTCATAGGGAATGGCACTATTAGGAGTGTGGCTTTGTTGAAGTGGGTATGGCCTTATTGGAGGAAGTGTGTCACAGTGGGGATGGGCTTTGAGGTTTCCTGTACTTAAACTACTCCCAGTGTTGTAGTCCACTTCCTGTTGCCTGCAAGATGTAGAACTCTCAGCTGTGGTCACGATGTCTCTTCACAGCAAGACAAACCCTAAGAAACCTGTGGAACTTCTTCTGAAGGAAAACAACCAAAAGATTAAGTAATCATATTAAATTGATTTTCCCTGTTTTTCTTTTTTGCGTACTTTTTAAGTAGACCTATCTTAACATATTTTAACTCATCTGTGATTTGTTTTTGATGATCTGTCTCCCCCTCAACCCCCACACTTTACTTGGCTAAATAGCAAAGAAGATGCGATTGTTTTTGAAATAATGTTCCTTAGTTCTTCCCCTGAACAGTCCTGTTGTAGAATTGTGAATGATGACTTTGAGGCTCCTGGTTCAGAGTTTATCTGGCTATTCTGTCTCCAGTTGGAAATAATCACGTGCGCATCCTCCATTCTAAATGAGCTGTCTTTCGGTCCAGAGATTCACACTGAAAATAGGTCTTTGCAAATGCTCCTAAGTAAGGGAAGAATATGAAGCATAACCATGTTAAATTTACTAACAGTTGCTATTACATGATTGAAGATGCTTGGCTTTTAAGTGCCTCTTTATATCCCCTCTCACTAATTAGAGGGAAGAGGCCAGCTGAGAATACTATTGTTAGGATGAATTTGGAGTCTGAGTGGTGGGCAGCCACTTGGGCTGAGGTAGGCTGTTCAAGGGTTTGGCAGTACTCACAAGGGTAAGAGGTTAGAGAGAGAAGAGAATGAAGTAATGGTGCTGTCCGGGAAACCGTTACTTGAACTATGTTGAGGTTTTCTCAGTAATTTTGGCAGTTGCAGTGGCAGCTGTTGAACTTTAGGGGGTTATAAGGAGGGAGAGGTAGAAAGTAGGCTCTCACCGATTGAAGATGAAACGTCTCCCTAAAAGACAAAACACTTAAGAGTTTGCTGTCAAATGCTGGAGTCCTTTCTTATGGTTTGGGGCTACACTGGCTACTTTTCTGTTCCTGTGATAAAGATATCCCTACAAAACCAATGGTGGTGGCGCACATCTTTAGTCCCAGCACTCGGGAGGCAGAGGCAGGCAGGTCTCTGAGTTCAAGGCCAGCATGGTCTACAGAGTGAGTTCCTGGACAGCCAGGGGTACACAGAGAGACCCTGTCTCAAAAACAAACAAACAAACAAACAAAAAACATGACAAAAACAAGTTAGGGAAGAAAGGGAGTATACTTTGGCTTAAGGTTACCGAGGGATGGAGTTCCTCATGGTGGAGAACGCATGGCAACAGTCAAGGAATGATAACCATAGGAGCAGGCATCTGGCAGATTGTATTTTTATCACACACCAGGAAGCAGAGAGGAGAACAGGAAGTGGAGTTATGCTTTAAACAGTCAAAGCCTGACCCTGTGATATACTTCCTTTAGCAAGGCTCCACCCATCTAATGATTTCACCACCTTCTCAGACACTGCTGCTGGAGACGAAATGTTCAGAATGTACACAAACCTTGGGGTCTGTTTCTCATTCCCACTACACTGGGGCACCTACCTACTTTTTAAATGTTTATTTTCTTTATGTGTATGATCGATCTCTCTCTCTCTGTTTGTGTTACTATAGAGGGCATTGGATCCCCTGGAACTTTCCAAATGGGAAGCTCTGAAGAGTTAAGCCACCTCTCTCGCCTCATAGACTTACTGTTTAAGAAGCAAATATTTCTCTGAAGCAGTTTGGGTTGGGCTGAGATACGCATGCAGAAGTCCTTTAACCAGGTAGAGGTTTTTCCCAGTTCATGCTCAGAGTCTGGACCATAAAGGCACAGCAGCTCCTGTCATTACCATCTTCAGGTTCACTCAACTCTGTGTACTTGTCGTTCTCTTTGTGCCCATTACAAGTCAGGACTGTCACCAGAGAGTAAGTGTCAGCTACAGGGCGCAGAAGTAGGACAGTAGACAAAAAAAGGGCGTGGTGGGGGGGGACTAGAGAGTGATTTTCCTATTCATCTTTCTGTATAGTTCATTTCCAGGATTAGTCATGTGACACCTGCCTCCAAGGAAGGCTAGCAAACAGTCTTTTATTTGGGTGGAATATAACATTTTCAATTGGGAAAAAATGACTCTTTCCAACTTACTGAGAGAGTTATTAAATAACTATTATGTTACAAAGGTGTAGCACTGAATAATTTCCAAAGATAGATGGAAAGAATGGATGTTGGCCAAGTTCATGAGCATTTTCAGCTTCTTGGTTTGAGGAAACCAGTGTCATTGCCCTAGGATAGTTCAGTCATGCATTCATTAAAGATAAGCCTGGTAGTCTTGCAGTTTATGATAATGAAACTTAATATTAAGTGATTGCTAACACTAGATGACCTGCCATTTATTTTAATAATAGTACCAGGGAATGTTTAGAATGTTTTGAAAGTTCTGTTTAGTTAGTAACTTTGTCCAACCAGTTACCATCTCAGTTTGGTTTTGCATTCTGTTATTTCTAATAACTTTTGACTTTCCAATCTTTTTCTTACCAACTTCCTCTCATACTGAATTATGGAAGTCTTTGATAGAATTAGCTTGGAATGACTGGTTGGTCTTTGAATGATGCAGTTTTCAAAGCCATCTTTTTGCCACCATGGGAATCTGGGGAGCCCTCTACCTGCTGTCTTTTTTTTTTTTTTTGGCACAGATGATAAAACCACACATGATGAGATTTGTGGCATTAAAAAGCTATGGAGAGGCATTTACTTGACAACAATAAGCCATGATAGCAGTGTTAAACTGTATAAAACTAGGGTTATTTTGACTATGTACCAATTTAGTATACTAAAATTCTCCAGCTAAAGAAAGGCAGAACATCCAGTATTTGTATTCAGTGTGCACAGTTTGTGGATGGGCATGAGTGTGAGGAGCCTAATCTTGATTTGGGACTGTGCTTTCTACATTGAGTACTTCCTTAGTGTCGTGAGATCAAGGACTTCAGCCTTTCAATCTTGAGCCCATTCAGTGTATTCTCTTTGTACTGGTTTCCTTTCTGTCCATGATTGACAGGCACCTACCATTAATAAAAATTGAATGTTCTAGTTTGTAACTTGACTGGAATGCATATAGAGTTTATGCTATTCTGTAACCTTCCCCTTTACTCTGTATTTCACAATGCAACAACAAGAAACAAAATGAAAAGGGAGATGATTGGGGTTTTGTTGTTGTTATGAGGTTGGGTGAATTGATGATTATCTCACTCCTGTTTCCTCAGGGATATGGGGTGGCATCTCTATGGGTGACTATTCAACTAGTCATTTTAAAAAATCTTAAGATTCAGTGACAAAATGTCTTGGCATTTTCACTTTGAAAGTCAAAGGAGGGGATTCTGAGACTGTAGGCTAGAGATACTATGTTTACTTCTGAGTGTCAAATTATGTTTTAAGTAACTATTTCAGAAGAGTTACCTGAAGGCATTTTGTTTTCTTACCCAGCTTTCACAGAAGATATGTGTGTGTGTGTGTGTGTGTGTGTGTGTGTGTATACAGACATATATATCTGAAGAAAATTATTTAAAAATGAATGGTTCAGAATTCCAAGGAAAAAAATAACTCTGATTGTCTCCAAGTTCCATGAGAACAGTAGCCTGTGTGTCTCTTGTTTGTCTTCGAGTCTTACGTGCAAATGACCCAGCCCTTGGCACATGGCTGGTGCACAGTGTTAAAGTGAACCGCCACCTTTTCTTTTGCTGTTAACTTTACTTCCGGAGAACAGTTATCCCACCCTTTGGTTAGTTGCTTGTCACAGGTGGGTATTTGCCCCCATCGGTGCATCTTTCCCTTGGGAGCTAAATGTGGCCCTTGGTGTTATATGGAATTACTTCTGAGAAGCAAGTTGCAAGTTTGGGCTTGGCATGCAAAAAATGAATTGGAACATTGGGGTGGGTAAAGGGGGAGCTTATTTTGTTTCCATTGTGACCACATATCTGAGATCTTAAAGGAGACAAAAAGTGCTTCTTCTATGGTTTTCTACCTTCTAATGTCCCTTGAACATACAGAAAATGTCTACAGCCAAAGACTTAAGTGTTCAGCACCTGAATCTGTTGGGACATTTCAGATTCAGATCACGATGGGGACCAGCAGAAGGCAGAGAGCCCCTCTGCTTATTGGACATCTATTAAAGTAAGGCAGGGAGGAGAGAGGGTGGGAAGATAGATTCTGGGCTCCTGCGCAGTTCTGAGGAGGTTGTGGCTGGGCAGGCGGGGCTTCCCTGAGCAAAGCTGTGTGTTATAGAAATTCTGTGTTGGTAGGAAAAACCCTGGCTCCAGACCTGCTAGCCTCAGGCACTGGCAGATACACAGGTCAGCACGAACATTGTGGTGAGTCCCACAAGTTGTGGCAGCTGGGAGCTGACAATCAACTGTGCTTCTCGGGAAGGGAAGTCTGAGTGCCACATCTCCATGGCTGCTGCGGTGAGTCAACGCAGCAGAGTGTAAGTCCAAAGATACTAGATGGAAAATTCCAGAAATAAGTTTAAAATTGCATGCTATTCTGAGCAACAAAGTGAATCTTGTGTTGTCTTGCTCTCTCCTCTAGTATACCGATCTCCTTTAGGTCTGGTGTATGTATGCTGTTTACAATCCTTGCTCACTAAGGTCATTTAGTGGCTGTCATTGTTATCAGATCAGCTGTCACAGTATCATATTATTGCTTATGTCCAAGTAATCTTTATTTTAACAGTGGCCCAAAAGGCACAAAGCTAGTGATGTGAGCAGTTTTATCCCAATTTATTTATTCTATTGAGTTATTTTATTTTACTATTTGTTATTAATTGCTTGCTATATCTAATTTACAAATTAAGCTTTGCCATAAGGATGTGTACACAAGATACACTGCAAACAGGATTTGGCATTATCTGAAGTTTCAGGAACTCATTGAGGGTCTAGGGTCTGGGAATACCCGGACTGTCAATAAAAGTAATTTTGTGTATTCATCTGGAAATACCTAGCATTTAGCCTGGGCCTGAGCCCCTGAGGTCTTCATCTCTGTTTACTCAGTGAGCTGTGTGTGGATTCATTTTAAGGCTTCTAGAAGGGAAGTGGCTTGAAATCTGACCCCTAAGGAATTTGTATGCTAAGATTTTTATTATCAGTGTTACAGCATTGGACTTGGGATACTGGAAGGTGCTGAGGTGTAAGTTAGGGTGTGAGGATAGGGTCTTTAGGTCTCCTGCAGGAAGAGACTCCAGGAGTCTTTATCTGTCTCATCGTCTGCCGTGTGAATATTGGCAAAAAATGGCCATCTGCAAGCCAAAGTAGAGTTCTCCCCAGAACCTGACCGTTGTTGTCATCCTGATGTTGGGTTCTGGCCTCCAGTACTGTAAGAAAATTTCTGTTGTGTGAGACACTCTTCTGTGCTAGTGTTGTGTGTGTGGGGGGGATTAGTTGTAGACAAAGACCATATGCCGACAAAACTTTCGTAGTTCCGATGGAAAATAAATTCTAAATTCCAAGTAAAGCAGATAGGAGAGGGACATTTAAAAGTTTGTAGATAAAAACAGGATTATGTGGCCGAGGCTTTTCCTAAATGCTTTTACCATACTGCCAAATGGCATTTAAAATGAAAGAACAAAAAGCCATGTATTTTACATTCAGAATTCTTAATCTGAAGTTAGCAGGTCCAAAATTGAGCATAAATTGAACAGATAGAAGGAATAAAAGTAAATGTGTTGTACAGGATGATGCACTCTGCAACCTTAAGCATTGAAAAGCTCAATGAAGACATTACTCAAAGACAGCAAAGGCCTATGTATATTCTCCACTGTCTCCTCTAAGGCTTGGGATAGATGGTCCATTGTGTAGACACTCCCATATGGAGGATGGGAAAACCTTTAGGTACAGACACATTACCAGTGGTATATTAATAATGGCTTCTAAAACCAGAACAAACAGAAGGTGTGACACAGGGGAGGAAAAAAATGAGCAAAGTGTCTTCCCAACCAGGAGGCTGCCCCAGGAGATAAGTCTTCACTTCCTGTGGGTGTGGCTCAGGAGGCTGCGGTTCTCTTGTATTATCGGGATGTATTACAAAGGGGTTTTGAGTTTCTGGAACAAAAGGAGTCCTGTTGTGTGGATCTAGACTATTTTGGGTATTAAGTAACATTCATATGGTTCTGGTCAGGAAGACAGAAGGGAAGTAAATTTAGGCCAAAAGTTTACAGTACAATTGTGGTTCTGTGATTTTATGAGATCCTGGCAATGTAAAATGGCCAGGCTTAAGAATGTGACTTGCTTTTCTGTGGTCAGGTGTGAATGAACTCTGGGTCACCAGGGAGGGCATTGCTTTGGGCTTGTGGCAAGGGCTCTTCAGGGGCCCTACAACAATTGCTCCCAGACTTAGCTGAGAACTGCAGCCGTCATGGAGCCAGAAGCACACCGTTGTGCATTCTAGCTAGTGCTAACTAGATGTAGCATGAGGATGAAATGATACATTTAGCTTCTGACCTTCCTTCCTGTGGAGTTTGAAACGCCGGCAGTGGGCAGGTGAGGATGAATTGGGCGTTGGTTATTTGAGCACGTCTTAGGAACAGTGCCGGTTAAGACACACAGAAGCTACTGAGCTGATTGCTCGCTTATCATTACTCAACAGCTGTGCAAACTAAAATTCAACCAAATAATGAGCAAGATTCGAATTAAATAACAGCAGGAAAATGTGCATGGGTTATAGATTTGGGTTAGTAATAAGAAGCTTAAAAACTCTTTAAATTCTGGTTTGCCTTTGCAGAATCATTGAATGATGCTTTCTCGGCAAAACTTTCGTACTTCAGGCAAGAAACAGTTTGTAAAAAGGACACTGAGTTTCAAATTGTGATGGAGAATCACTTGGTAGTGAGGGGGGGGGCAGAATGGAAGAGCTGCCTGTTTTATTACAATAAAATGATTAGGGTAAATTTTTACTGTTAGCACTATTGATAATGTTTGCTCATATAAACACTGTTATTAAGGCGCTTACTCTAGTCTGATTCTGTAGGTCTGAAAAAAAGTCCTGCCTGACTTGTCATTTGAAGTATTATGGTATATACTGTGGCATATGAGGACACTATTAGCTTCCTATAGTTGCTATAACAGATTACCACAACCTTTTGGGCTTAATGTAATATAAACTGTATTCTCTTGCATTTTTGATAGAGAGATCCTGAAATGGGTTTTAATGTGATAAGTTCCAGGTGGTTCTAGGAGAATCCGTTCTTTGACATCTTGAGCTTGCTGTGGTCATCTGTGTTCCTTGACTTGTGGGCTTTTCTAGCATTGGCATCCTTCCAACTTTGTTCCTTCTGTGATATCTCTGTGACGGTGACGTCCCTAATTCTCATCTCCCAAGTAACCTTGTGGTTAAACCAGCCCTACTTGAATAATTGAGACTATACATAATCAAGTTTCAATGGCAAAATCCTGCAGAGTTTTGCATATGAGATAGCTATGTGAGTTTGCTCTCTGTTGCTGTGATGAAACACCACAATGAAAAGCAACTTGGAGAGGAAAGGGTTTATTTGGCTTACATGTCCCGGGCAACCCCATCATTGAGGGAAGTCAGAGCAGGAGCCTGGAGGTAGGAACTGGAGTAGAGGCCATGGAAGAGTGCTGCCCACTCACGTGCATTCTTTTGGCTTGCTCAGCTTGCTTTCTTATACAACCCGGACTATCTGTCCAACAGGGCACTGCTGACAGTGGGCTGGACCCTCCAACTTCAGTCTTTTGTTTTTTGAGACAGGGTTTCTTTGTGGCTTTGGAGGCTGTCCTGGAACTAGCTCTTGTAGACCAGGCTGGTCTTGAACTCACAGAGAAATCTGCCTGCCTCTGCCTCCCGAGTGCTGGGATTAAAGGCATGCACCACCACCACCAGCACCCAGCTCCAACATCAATCATTAATCAAGAAAATGTACCACAGACTTCCTATAGGCTAGTCTTATGGAGGCAATTTTTTTTCCAATTGAGGTTCCCTCTTTGAAAATGCCCCTAGCTTGTGTCAAGTTGACAATACGCGGCTCACAATAGCTGGGTGTGGATGATTTGAGATTTGATTGAGGGAACATTGTGCTGCTTACCGTAACACCCATGGGGCAAGTTTAGAGTATCTCAGTGCATTCTGTCCTGGAGGAGGGGATCACTGTAAGCAAACCTGATGTTAGAATTGGATTGTCATTTCACCAAGGTTAAGAATTTGTCATGTGAACTCTAAGTCATGTACATGGGCTCTGCAGATACTTGCTCTAGCAATGTATTCAGAAGTAGATTGAACGTTATGACCACTGTGCAGGAGTTGTATTGATTCTCCCTGTTGACTAAGGGAGATTCAGGCATGAACATGTACTATGAACTCTGTGAGATGCTAAGTTGTCTGTAGTCATGATAAAGGAATGAAAAGCATCAAGATAGAGTAAGGCAGAGATGGGACCAAAAGCAGGATGATGCCTCCTCTGCCAGCCAGGCTCCATCTCCGAAAGACTTCACAACACCACCAAATGGAACCAGGTGCTCAAACACAGCGGCCCGTGAGGGACATGGGGATGTTTCATATTTGAACCTCTGTGTGTGTATGTGTGTGTGTGTGTGTGTGTGTGTATTTGCAATAGACATATTAATTAACACATGTAATTTGTACTGATTCTGACAATTTTGAGGAGTAAGAAAAGGTTGTATGCTTTGAAACCTAGACAATGAGAATTTACATTGATTTCTTTTTTTTTTTTTTTTACCTCTAATAGAATAATGTCTTCAAGTAGAATCTGACTCAGTCGCTGACTTTCCTGGCAGGTGAATTCAAGTCTTAGATTTAATAAACCTGTTAAGAGGCGTCCTCATTCCCATTTATATAGTAAATAGTCACAGTGTGGAATAGAATAAAATAGTCACACTCTGAAATGCATGCAATTTTTGGGAGTGCATTAAAAAAAAGATTTATTGTTTGTTGTATTTTACTCTTTGGTTCTTCAGCTCTTTTTTGGGGGGGCTGCCAGCTCCCAAGTAAACCACACCCATAGGCTCATTCTTAGTTATGAGTGCCTGGCCTTAGCTTGACTTGTTTCTAGATAGCTTTTCTTAAATTAACCTGTCTTTTTCCTCTGGGCTTTTCCGTTTCTATTCCTGTATACCTTTCTTGCTGTGCAGCTGGGTGGCTGGGTGGCTGGGTGGCTGGGTGGCTGGGTGGCTGGGTGGCTGGGTGGCTGTCCCCTGACATCCTCCTCTCCTTGTTCTCTTGCTGCTTCTCTCTGCTTCATTTCTCCTTCTATTTATCCTCTTTCCCTGCCAGCCCCGCCTAGCCTCGCTCCCGTCTTGCTATTGGCCATTCAACTCTTTATTAGAACAATCAGTTGTTTTAGACAGGCAAAGAATCACAGCTTCACAGAGTTAAACAAATGCAGCATAAACAAAAGTCACACACCTGAAAATAATATTCTACCACAAAGATTATC